GGTGATAGTTGAAGGTGGTGGAGGTTCCGAGGTGATAGTTAAAGATGGAGGAGGTTCAGAGGTGATAGTTAAAGATGGAGTAGGTTCAGAGGTGATAGTTGAAGATGGTGGAGGTTCAGAGGTGATAGTTGAAGATGGAGTAGGTTCAGAGGTGATAGTTGAAGATGGTGGAGGTTCAGAGGTGATAGTTGCCTGCAAAATATGGTGCATCGGCTAAATCAGATATAAATCAGAGACCGGTAGACTTTTGAGAGTAATCGATAGCAGAGCATAGGGGCACAGTTCCTTCCAGCGTCGAAAGACGTTGGTTGGTCCATTATCAGCTCCTTCAGCGTCGAAAGATGTTGTTTGGGCAATAATTCACTCAGTACCCTGATTTGACGTCTCGCGACGTTGATAATGGATCATTTACGTAACAGCCGGATTCATCGTCTCACGACGCCGATGATGGCAGAAAAGAGAGAAACATTTATTGAGAATGTTAGAAGAGACGGCAAAAAGACCTACAACCAGAATGCCGAGAGTAAATTGAGGAAAAAGACTTATCGGTGCGACACTGATTTAGGCAAAATTTAGTCGAAATTTTGTTCAGAATTCATGAGTGGAGAAAAATCACCTGAAAAATGGGAACGAGACTATGAAGGGGCAGAAAAGCCACTGAAATAAGAATAATATTGAGGAAGTGAATAATAAAACCCTCGGAGGCAGTAAAGAGACATTGTACATGAATACAGAGCAGAAAATAGCTGATCCGGGCATAAAAAATACATGAGAACCTGAAAATAGGTGCTTGCAAGCACAAATGTTTAAAAATCAGGTCGAAATGTGGCCGGAACAGGAGGCAGTGAAGCTAAGAAGTATTCAGCGTGGCAAAAGGACATTCAAAAGGGATGATCATCGTCGGAAGACGTCACGAGCCAAGAGAAGGAAGAAAATTTGAAAAAAATTGAAAAAAAGAGGATTCAGTGCTTCCGCGGCGCAATTGTGGCTGAAACCCGTCGATGTGTGAATGATACGAAGGGAAAATCTGAAATAATGGACTCATATCGCTTTCAAAGCTAGTTATATTCTATGAATTCAATGGTTCCATCGTTAAACGATTCGAACATCGCGAGGAAAGCGTCGAAACATGCTGACAACGACACTCCGAAATAACGCGTTCGGCGTTGTTTAGCGAGCGCGGCGGCAGAAGTTCGCGTTGAAAAAAAGCATCGGAATCGGCGCCGAAGACGTTTTGAAATGGCAGAAGGCGTCGAAAACAAAAAGGATGGCAAGAACAGACAAATGTAAGTCTTTTTATGGAAAAATTATCTCGAAAAAAGCGAGTGAAAAGCTCAAAAAGGAGCACGGGTCATGCCCAAATTTTCATTTGAAAATTTGAGTAGGGATTCGAAAGTTTTCGATGAAGAGGCAAAAAAGAGAACAAATAAGTAATTTGAAGATAATATATCTGTGATTGGTAGCCATGAACCGCATGATAGCAAAATTACTTGCGCCGATGAGCAGTTTTGCCAAACCAAATCCGAAAATGTGTCTAAAATCAATAATTGACGACTAAAACGCTAAAATTTCTGAATTTTCAGTGAAAACCGAAGCGATGAAGCAAAGCGATGACATCAATTTTCGAAAGGAAGACAATCGAATCGAAAGATTGAAGCAATTGGCTGAAAACGAAGATCAAACATCGGCAGAAGAGTCAAATCGATGTGACGCTTCGAGTCAATGGGCCCGAATTGGAAAAGCAAAAGGAGCTGCAAAAGATTCCGAAACGGCATGAAAGGTGATTCAAGACGAAGCCGGCAGATGAAAACACGGAATTTGTTGGCACAAAATATCGCAACGAGCGAGAATGTACGAGCCGGAAGCCGAAGTGAGGCAGAAATCGATGAGTCGAACACTAGAAAAGCTTGAAAAGAAGGAAAGAAGGATGACTCGAGTTCTCAGAAAGAGAAGGTGTGAAGACGAGAAAGAAATCCGAAAAGCCTTCTCAAATATTGCCACGTCATAATATGCCATCCAATGAGAAGCCGGAAAAGGCATAGAAGTACAGCATGACAGTGACATCAAGGACGAAGATAGAGTAGTGGTGAGTATTTCTTTATTTCACCTTAGAATAAAAACAAATAAAATTGTGTCAAAACCCGATAATAGAGGGGAACCTCTGCTCAAAATTTATTTGATCCCGATAATCGCTAATTGGCTTCAGGCTGCGAGCAATCGGTTATAATGAGGTATCGATGAAGAGTGAAGGAAAGGAGTGGAGGCAAAGACAAGCAAGGAAAGAAAGAGATACAATGAAGGAAGTATCGATACAAAATCGATTCCAAATCCACGTGCTAGAAGCACAAAAAAGCGTATGGCAGCGACAAGTAATCGACACGAATCGAATTATCGTCGGCAGGGTATCAGTCCTCGAATGTGGATCGGATACGATCACCGACTGAAAGGAATTTATAATGTGAGTAATCCGATTACATTGAAACATTCAAAGTAAATAATCAAAATGGTTACAGTCGTGCCGCGAACGCCGACGTCTTCGATGAGATGCTGCTGACACAACTTCGTGAAAGCAGGCTGGAGCAAGAGAAAGGCAGAGAGCAAGTACAGTGTGAAACCAGAGGCAATGAGAGGCACCGAGCGAGATCAGTGAAGAGCCAGAAGAAAGAAGAGGCACCAAAAGAAGGATATCGAAAGATAACAATTAAAAGAATCGTCTGTTTTAAAGTCTTTCAAAATCAATAAAATGTATTGATAAGATGTTTGTATTTAAAATAGAAAGATTATTATAAAAAACAGAGAAGCCGAGCTGACAATGCAATCAGAAGAACAGTATTCTGTACCGATCATTGTATCATTGGCTAGTATTGAAAATTTTTGAAATTTTTCGGATAAAACAACGTAGAAAACTGTTATCACACCAAAAGAGTTCAGAAGAAGCATGAAGGCGGAAGACGAAAAAAAAAAAAAAAAAACATAAATCCTTTGTGTTTTGAAAGAAAATTCTAGGAATACAAATTAGTGATAGGACTCTTGTATTTAAAAAGCATATATGCCGAATGACTATGAGATAGGAAAAAGGAAAACAGGAAAAAAGAGCACTATCATTAGTTAGTATTGAACCTCATGTCGAACTGTCTTCTGATGCAGCAAATGAGAAAGGTGCCGTGATATGAAGGCGGAAGCATTGAGTAGAAAAGAGAGAAAAGGAACAGAGAGTAAAAAATATACTCGTGTTCTCGAAGAAAATGTTGAAAGAAAAGCAAAGTTCGGACGAGAATCAGACATGATTTAAAGAAGAAAATGGCGCAATTCTGCAACGATGAATTAGATAATAAGAAATGATAGGAATAACAGAGAAGGCTAGTGAAACACAACCAGCAAGAATAGCTGAAAAATTGGAAGATTCGGAAAATGGAATATTCCGAGTTGTAGAAGTTTTGAGGATAGGAATTGCAGATGATCAGAGAGTTGCAGATGTGCCGAAGGAGTTCAGATTTTTAGAGGATTCTAGAGAATTTAGGAGATTTAGAAAAAAAATTGAGAAGAATAATCGGACGAGGAGAGACAGTGAGACAACGAAAAGAATACTGCCGAAAGCGTCACGAATTTGGCTAAAATTAAGCAAGAAAATTCAGAAAACATGATAATACTACTGAAAATTGTAGTATAGAGAAAATATAAGAAATTGAAGGAGAATAGGAGGATTTTAAGCGATTTGAAATAGTTTCGGTAATGTTGCGCGAGGCAGCGATTACTCGATCAGATTAAAAGAAATCGATCGTTTTTCGTTCAGAATCGTTGTATAACAATTCAGAGATGCATTTGAGAGCCAACGATCAATTAGTTACCGATTACAATGAATGTTCAGAGAAGAAATGAGTTCTGATAATGCAGATTCCGAAAATTTTATTTAAAAAAAAGGGTTCTAATTTCAAAGGAATAGGAAGAGGTTGAAATAAATAGAGGCGGACAATATAGGAAGTGAATACAGTTTGAACAATTAGGTCAGATTATAAGAAAGCATAAAACCTGAAATTAAAATTATGCATAAACCGTCCTGTTTGTGCGAACTAGTTGAGTTCAAAGGAGCTTATAGGAAGCAATATGGTCTAATTAAGATCACAGGAGATTCTAGGAAAGGAAAAGGGCATATAAAACAGAGGAAAGAGTCAGATATGCAGTTGATACATCTCAAGAGGTAAAGAAGGAATAATATGTCGAGTCAGACATGGCAGTAGAATATGGAGTCATAAAAGACCGTAAGCATTCAGAGTTTAGGCTAGTCAGGAATGACAGTTGATGATTGCCAGGTTCGTCAAGAAGAATGGATTCCGTTTTCTGATAGGATTTTAGGATTTGAAGGAGGAGCCCGAGTGGCGCCGCAGTATCTAGAATAGAGAACCGAGGCAGAAATTATATTTAGGTTATTCTAGATTGAGGATATCAGGAGGGAGCCAAATGGAGCCCGCAGTATTTAGAACAGAAATAAGAGTCTGCTTCATTACTTCTGCTTTCTAAATTGAGGACAGGACAAGGAAAAGCACAAGAATTCTAGTTGCGACTGTGCTCTATAAGGAGAACAACATACGAGAAATTCTACAACGCAGTAGACAGTGAAGCGAGTAGTCATACTCTATTGGTTGGGACTTATAGAGACTCGACAATGTTATGCTCGAGGTTACATTGTCAGTCTATCCGGAAACGGATAGACGGAGGTTTCAGGTCATTCTTTTGATAAGATTGAACAAGTTAAACAAGTCTACAGGGCGTAGAAAGTTTACCAGGAAGGATAGGAAGAGGGTGTGAAGGATGAGAGAAAGAGTGTGAAACGTAAGGGAGTTGCACATCCCGAGCTGACATTGTTCTTCGAACCCGATGACGGATTGATGGAGGTTGAGGTCATTCTGAATGCAGAATGTAAGGTTCAGGATTTGAACGAGCTTAAAGAATAGTCAGTCAACGCAAGATAAATATGAAAAATCTGAATTGAGGCAGAGGATGGTGAATGAAGATGAGAGCAGTGTGATAGGTCGCGGAGAGCGCTATCCAAAAATTCGGTACTGGAGACGACGAGAAACAGTTATAATGGCCATATAATTGTATCTATAATTTCAGTTTCTTGAACCGTGTTTTAGATTTTTTCACATTTGCGTTCTATCTACTTTCACATCTTCTGATAACGCTTCCGTATCCACCAATATACAGTGGCGAACGTTGTTTCTATTTTTGGACTTCAATTGTGTTACAAAGCCACGCGTACAATGATCGGTTGAACTGACCAAGCTATTAAGCTTCGTATTGGATAGGTGACGAATTTGGCATCACGATTGATGCGCCAAGATCAGGATTACTGTCTGGGAGTAAAGACAGGAGTTCTGAAAGTGGAGGAATCCGAGGATGAATGTCTCCAAAAACATTCAGATGTGCAGGGAGCACTTCGAGAATTGGAAAGATTGGATTCGAGATCAGGTTGAGGCTGCAGTAGCAGGGGATGGAGAAGATCAGGATGAGGTGGAGGATAGGAAAGTAGAGAGAATTCACATATTGTTGAATTATGTGAATAGAAAGTCTGTCGGCAACACGACTCTCAAATTGAAAAGTGTCGCAAATGACATGCAAGATATTGTTAATGCGCAGGCTGAGTGGCAGAGCTCACCGCCAACGTCGCCAGAAGACCTCGGAATACGTTTAGCGACTTTCGAGGCAAAAGAGGAAGAGGAAGAGGTTCCTGCTCAAAATGGCACCACATCTAGTGGAACTGTGGACAAAAGATCCCAGAACGCTGAAGTGATGCAAATTGAGTACTTCAACAGACTCATTTTGTTGGAGGAAAGAGAAATACAGTTGAGCAGGAGAGAATAGCAAACGAATGATTATGCGGAGATACAGGAACGCTTGGTGTTCATAGAAGAAATGAGGAGGAATCTGGGAAAAGAAAGAAATGTGAAGAAGGAGGGCAAGGAGCACCAGAGTAGGGAGAATAAAGTCCCAAAGGATTTGAAGCAAAAGGAGGCTGATGATTCTGACTCGGATTTGGACTCAAGTTCAATTTAGGAAAACGATGATTGTGGCACCACTTTTTCGGCATCTGAGGAAGAAGAACAGTTGAAGGATAGTAAGAAGGTGAAGAAAGAAAAGGAAAAGGTGAAGGGAGATAAGAGATTTAAGGAAAAGAATGAAGAGGACGTAGTAAAGATTCTTGAAAAGGAAAACTCTCGAACTGAAGAAATTCGATGGATCCGATAATTCTAAATATGATGATTAGAAGACCAATTTTATAGAAGGATTCGGCAAAGATCCTAGAATGACAAGACTTAATGAAATGATCCAACTGAAGAGTCTGGTCACTGGGTTGGAAGAGAATGTCCTAGAATGAGAGGAGTTGAAGGAAAGAGATTATGGGGTGGCATAGACCATCCTCGATGAGAACTTTGGGAAGGCCAGCTAGACCATTGTTGGTATTTGAAAGAAAATTCAATAGGATAAAAATTGATCAGAAAATGAAAGAATTCAACAGGGAAATCGGAAGACGGGAAAAAAAACTGCCGGAGGTTATCGAAAAAAAAAGAACGAAAGAACAAAAAAAAGCGAGGAAAAAAAAAGCTGGAAGAATGAGGAAAAGTGCTGGAAAATGAGCAAAAATGTCGTTATTCAGCTAGCGACGCATCCAAACTTGACTCGGTGCCAAATTTCAAATCGAGGTTCCCTTCTGTGATGACGTGCAAACTTGAAAACCAGCTGGAAATTGATTTTCCGCAGAAAAAACATCGGATGTAGTAAGAAGCCGAAAATTGATCAGAAAAATTTCAAAGAAAAAATAAGAAAAGATACCAGCAAGTTGAATTCTATCATCATTGATCTGAAAAATTGTGGAATTAATATGGACGCTCCAAGTGTGTACGGTCGCTATATTGCCAAATTCCGGGGTGAGAAGGCAGATCGTTTAACAGCTAAACTATGAGCGAAAGCTTCAAAAGAGAATTTTCGAAAGTCCAAAATTGGAAATGTTGAGCGGAAAAGTGGTCATTGAGGAAAGAAGAACGAAGTTGAATGGTCCGAAGGACTTTGATGTGGCCAATGTGGATCAACTTGAAGGCAAAGTAGAGCAAAGTGGATCACAAGAAAAGAAAGGAAATTCAAGAAAAGAACGAACGGAAAAATGCACCTTTCGTTGCTCTGTATCCCACAAATCGTGGAACAGCCCCAAGTCGGCAGCAGAAAAGTTTGCGTTTCTGATCCAGGAGAAACGTTGCACTGTGTGATTCTCGAAAAACCACCATTCTCGAGAATGCAAAAATATGCCAGCACATAAATTCCAAATTTGCTTCACAGCCCATAACACAGGAATCCACGAAGCAGTTTAAAAAGCTAAAAAAAGAGGAGAGAAAACAGGAAGATAAACCATGGAAACTATCCAGCAGGAACTCTTTCAGATTCAAAATGGATCAGGTTCAAAATGAATCAAGAGATGATGAACTATGTCAAAAATGAATTAAGACAGAAGAAACAGAACATATAAAAATTCTCATGTTGTATCAATGGTTCACAAAACAGATAAAAATGAAGAATCAAAAGCGAATGCGGGTACAGATATAGACCATCAAGAACATTTAGTACTCAGTGCGTCTAGTACAAATATAGGAGGCATTGCTTACATTCTATTTGACAACAAAGAAAAGAGATCTCGTCACATTTATCGATGCAGGTGCTAATTGTAGTCTTGTATCTGAGCAGAGAGCTGCGAAAAATGGGTTTAAGAAAGTGAAGACTGTCACAATGAGATTAAAAGGTTTAGGGAGTGATGAGGTTTTGAGACAAATGCCTCAACGGTGTTATACAAAGAAGAGTAATAGGTTCCAGAAGCTACAGTAAACTGAATACAAATATCTATGTACCACCATTGTCAGAGAAAGAAAGTTGAAAATTAGATGAAATTGGAATAGATACAGAATGATTAAGAAAACTAGACGGAGAAATAGAGAGATAATTGACAGGATAATTGGTACAGGCGTGATCTGGGATTTCTGAAAACAGCAGGGTACAGAAAATTTGAAGAATAAAAGAGCATAGTCTGTAAAGTTAGGGATTCCAGCCACATTTGATTGTAATAATCATGCGGAAGAACAAGAAGATAATAAGCGTTCGATTGTGAAGATGAAGAAGAGTCCATGAATTGTCTATGTTAGGGTGAGGATAAAGGAGAAGAAGAAATTCAGTCGATATTGGCATTAAAGAGAAAGAGTTGGAAGAAGAAGATGTGTCCAAAATTGAAGAATCTATGGAGGAATCCAAGAAGGTGTCATAATGGAAAGAGAGCCAAATACTGGTCAAACTACCATTGAGTGATAACGAAGAGCATTTGACTGGTAAGCTGCCAGTGGATTTGAAAAGGTTAACCAACCAAGTTGGAAAATTAATGTACCTCTAGAATTTCAGAGGAATATAAGATTATTAACAAACAATTGAACTCTTAAATCAGTGGAAAATCTGTGAATGAAGTATTAAATAAAACTGCTATTATATTCCTAAAACTGCTATTATATTCCTAAAACTGCTATTAGATTCAATAGTTGAGGATAACGGTCCTAGAGAAGAGGAGTAAAAGAAGAGCAGATACAAGCAGCCACGAAGTAGAAAGTTTATCGTTGAATCAATGTATCAGAAAAGTAAATTCATGAATCTGTTTATGGCCATTGTATTGAGAAGTAGAACAGGAAAGTTCAACGATACCATTGATTTCAAAAAAAAAACATTCAACCTGATCAGACTGCAGAAAGAAGACAAAGAATACATGAGATTCGTGTGCCTGAAAGATTGGAAGAAGAGACAGTTAAGAAAATTTCTTACCTTGTAGGTTTCAGGTAACCAATTGAAATGTTATGCTCTTGTTAGTTCACCCTAATTTATATGGAAAGATATCATGCAGAGATTAATCAAGAAATTGAAGAAAACTTGCATGTAAACAAGTTAGTATTTTGGCAAATACAGAAGAAGAGTTTCCAGAATTGTATTAATAGGAAAGAGCAGGAGCCCAATGCGGAATGAGTTTGCACAAAACCCAAGAGAATTCAGTGAATATAGGATATAAGATTCCTATTGATGACAGAGCACCAGATAAGCTAAATAAGATGCAAGGAATGTTAATTGGTTCAAGGAAGGATTTGTTGACTATGTCACTAACACCGCCAGAAGTCGTTCCTACAACAAGGAAATTACAATCAGCTCTTGTCAAGATTATGATGCTCTTGGAGGGGTATCTCCTATTACAGTAAGATTGAGATTGTTTATTCAATCTGAGCTGAGACAGGAAAAAGAACAACAGAAAGAAAGACAAGGCTACGCTCGTCTGATCTTAACAGACGTATTAGAAATTTAAAGATTGAAATGGGAAGACATGTATCTTACCCAATTGAAAGAATCAAAGAAGAAGAAGAAACATTATTCTACAACTCAGCCAAAATTGGACAGGTAGTACCAATGGAGTAACGATTGAGGTCGAAGCACAAGTGGCTGATGTCCAAGATCACACAAGTTCATCTTAATGAACAAGGTCAAATCAGGACGGCAAAAGTGAAGTATTGTGGAATGGAAGTACTGAGATCAGTAAACCATTTAATTCCATTTGAAATAATAAAGGAAGAAACCGCTGATGAGCCGGCAGAGCAAAATGAAGAAAAAACTACTGAACCAGAACCACAGAAAAAGAATAAGGAAAGTGGAATATTTAAATGAAGGAAGGAAGAAGTAGGAAAACCAGATCGAAAAGCAAAACAAAGAATCACATATGGTGATTGTGAAAATACAACAATTGGAGATCTAGACAGTAAAGAAAAAATAGGAAGATGAAGGAGAAAGAGTTGGGCAGCGCCTTAAGACCAGGAATGGACCAGATACTCAAGATGAGAAAAAAAAGGCTGGCCCTGGCAGTGTCGCGAATTCAGGTGACCGAATATCACCTCTTCACGACTTTTTCTCCTTTTCAATGAATTCTTCTTTTATTCCCTGTATTTTATGTAATTATATTCACCAACGCCGACGCCGCCCACAACAATGCCGATTTGAATCACCCGCCAATTTGAGGATTACTGTACCCTGCACATCTAACTCTCAACGCGAACCAAGGAAATGCGCCCGCTTTTGGGATCAATTTAGACTCTTGAGTCATTCTCGTGTCTCCCCCAAAACCCATGTTTCTCGTTCCTATTTTTACCTATATTTTTTATAAAATATTATTCTGGTGTAATTTTTCTTGTCGGCAGAAAGAATCCGGCCACGGATTCTTTCAGGTGTATCGTTGTAGGCATTTATAAGTAATAAATCGGTGTCTTAAATTCTGTGTTTTGTTGTCTCTTTCTCTCTTTAGGTTATCGTGTCTCAAGGGGCCGTACTAAGGCTATATGCCTGCAAAATAAAGATGGAGGAGGTTCAGAGGTGATAGTTAAAGATGGAGAAGGTTCAGACGTGATAGTTGAAGATGGTGGAGGTTCAGAGGTGATAGTTGAAGATGGAGTAGGTTCAGCGGTAAAAGTTGACGCCGGAGGAGGTTCAGAGGTGAAAGTTGAAGCTGTGGTAGGTACAGAGGTGATAGTTGAAGATGGAGGTGGTTCAGAGGTGATAGTTGAAGCTGGAGGAGGTTCAGAGGTAATAGTTAAAGATGGAGTAGGTTAAGAGGTGATAGTTGAAGATGGTGGAGGTTCAGAGGTGATAGTTGAAGATGGTGGAGGTTCAGAGATGATAGTTGAAGATGGTGGAGGTTCAGAGATGATAGTTGAAGATGGAGGAGGTTCAGACGTGATAGTTGAAGATGGAGGAGTTTCAGAGGTGATAGTTGAAGCTGGAGAATGTTCAGAGGTGATAGTTGAAGGTGGTGGAGGTTCCGAGGTGATAGTTAAAGATGGAGGAGGTTCAGAGGTGATAGTTAAAGATGGAGTAGGTTCAGAGGTGATAGTTGAAGATGGTGGAGGTTCAGAGGTGATAGTTGAAGATGGAGTAGGTTCAGAGGTGATAGTTGAAGATGGTGGAGGTTCAGAGGTGATAGTTGAAGATGGAGTAGGTTCAGCGGTAAAAGTTGACGCCGGAGGAGGTTCAGAGGTGAAAGTTGAAACTGTGGTAGGTACAGAGGTGATAGTTGAAGATGGAGGTGGTTCAGAGGTGATAGTTGAAGCTGGAGAGGTTCAAACGTGATAGTTGATGATGGAGGAGGTTAAGAGGTAATATTTAAAGATGGAGTAGGTTCAGAGGTGATAGTTGAAGCTGAAGAATGTTCAGAGGTGATAGTTGAAAATGGAGGAGTTTCAGAGGTGATAGTTGAAGCTGGAGGAGTTTCAAACGTAATAGTTGAAGATGGAGGAGGTTCAGAGCTGATAGTTGAAACTGGAGAAGCATCAGAGGTGATAGTTGAAGATGGATGAGGTTCAGAGGTGATAGTTGAAGCTGGAGAATGTTCAGAGGTGATAGTTGAAGGTGGTGGAGGTTCAGAGGTGATAGTTAAAGATGGAGTAGGTTCAGAGGTGATAGTTAAAGATGGAGTAGGTTCAGAGGTGATAGTTGAAGATGGTGGAGGTTCAGAGGTGATAGTTGAAGATGGAGTAGGTTCAGAGGTGAAAGTTGAAGCTGTGGTAGGTACAGAAGTGATAGTTGAAGATGGAGGTGGTTCAGAGGTGATAGTTGAAGCTGGAGGAGGTTCAAACGTGATAGTTGATGATGGAGGAGGTTAAGAGGTAATAGTTAAAGATGGAGTAGGTTCAGAGGTGATAGTTGAAGCTGGAGGAGTTTCAAACGTAATAGTTGAAGATGGAGGAGGTTCAGAGCTGATAGTTGAAACTGGAGAAGCATCAGAGGTGATAGTTGAAGATGGATGAGGTTCAGAGGTGATAGTTAAAGATGGAGTAGGTTCAGAGGTGATAGTTGAAGATGGTGGAGGTTCAG